AATAGGCCAACTCGGGAGCTTACAAGTGAGAGTGCAAACACATATGAAGAGACACCATATTAATTAATCTCGTTTGCCTACTTGAAGACTTTACTCATCTTTTACTAGATATCACATCTTCAATTCTGCCATGGGGATCACAACTGCAGAATCCTTATCGCACCATGGACTTCTCCACACTCACAATTCTACCGAATCCATCCTTGAACACTCTGATCACACTAGGATTGAACCACTAGTTCAAAGAGAGTCTAACAAGCTAACTTGGGAGTGCATGAGTGGAAGAGCACAAAATAAATATAATGAGACATCATATTAAACCATAAAGACATATCAAATTTATGGACCTCTACATATATATTACACTTTTTTTTTTTTTATGAAAACATATATATTACACTTCAATGTTATATTTCTCATCAATATAAGATTTTTGCATATCATTCAACTTAACTTCATTTATAAGTTCATATACTCCAACATTTTCTTGGTGAAGACTGCCTAGTTGGCTCTTGCATCTCTAGAATCCCATTTTTCCATGCATCTATTCTTTCCCTTAAGGCCAATTCATGTAGCTAATTCTATCCCTCGCCTTCCCAAAAACGCAAAAGTACATATAATTATTGATTCTGCTTTCTTTGTCTTTTCGTTTTAAAAGGGGATGGATGAATGAATTGGCTCTTTAGCTTTAACAGCGCCAGACTAATCGATTACATGTCTTTACAAAAGATTCGGTGCTGATCTCCTTTAATCAGCATCCTGACAAAGTTGCCCTATTTATTTCAAGAAAAAAAAAATGGTGCTGATCTCCTTTAATCAGCATCCTGACAAAGTTACCCTATTTATTTCAAGAAAAAAAAAAATGGTATTCAAACTCTTCTTTTGTACCTTTAATCATATTCTTAGCTAGCAAGGATATATCCCAACTCCCAAGTTTACTCGTTGGGAAAAGATTTAGATAAAAATTGTTAATTTTATATATTTTATTTAAAATTTTTAATTTTATCAATTTTTAAATGAATATATAAATTTTTATTTTTTATGTATGAATGTTAATTTTTTATTTTTTTATTTAAAAGTGTTAACTTTTAAATTTTTTATTTAAAAATTAATTAGATAATTATATCAACATAAAAAAAGGATTTTTCTATTTAAGTATATTAAATTTTAATTTTTTATTTGAAAATTAATAAATGATAATATTGACGTGAAAAATGAATTTTTTAAAAAAATTAACATTTTTAAATAAAAAAATTAAAAATTAATATATCTTTAAATAAAAAAATAAAAATTTAACATACTTAAATAAAAAAATAAAAAATAATATTTTTATTTAAAATTTGATAAAATTAAAATTTTTAAATAAAAAAATCTAATATTAACATTCTTATTTATATATTTTCTCTTTATAATTGTTACTAAATGAAACTAAAAAGATGCACTTGGCCCATGTGGCCCAGTGACTAGAGCTATTGAAAAGTGCACATCCCCTCTCCTGGATGGATTTCGAACCCGCCCCATGACAAAACTATTCAAAAAAAAAAAAAAATGAAACTAAAAAGATATGGAACTATACTTTGACGCTGGCATTACGACTACCAATGAAACAATGAGAGGCCACATGGCAGGGCCAGAGGAATATTACTTTACGTAATGTGTTGCACGCAGGACAGGGTGCTTGACGACCACGTATCCATGTGCTCGGCATGATACTGTTTTATAATATTTCACTAGGAAGACTTCTGCATACAAAACTGTAAAATTAGTTGAGGCTTGTACCACCTCAACTTCGTTAAAGTACGTAAATCATCGACAATGCTGCTCACAAGTGAGTATTTCCTCCGTTATCATCTTCATGTTAAACTATGTTCTTTTGGAAAATTAGTCAATATGTTCTTGCATATTGCATTACATAATTTGGTTCCACAACGATGGCTTCAGAGCCAATGTCCTTCTCTTTTTTATTTCCTGTTTTTCTGTCAATTAATATATATCTTCAAGATGAATTTTAGCTTTTAATTGATTTTTGGGTTGATATGTGAAAGTGGGGAGATTTGGACCTATAATTATCGTATTGATTTAAAAATAAAATGATTACATTTTTTTAAGAGAAAAGTGAGAATCAAGATGTAATGTTGGGATTATTTGTAAAATTGTTGAAATGTCTTAATGAACTTTCCTTATTTATTAATTTATTAAGGATATTTAAGTTTTTCATTATATTTTTTGACATTTTAATTGTTAAAACATCTCAATTTTCTTCAGTTTCTTCTTTTAATGATTGTTAACCATATAAGTAACAAATACATATACATCTTGTTAACGATATATATATGTGGTCACCCAACAAATTAATTGTTGGAGCCACACAAACTTTAAATTTTATTTTCGAAATACTATTTTTGTTTAGTTGATTGTTAAAAATTAATAACTAATAACTGTAATTATTAGTTGATAAATAATAAAATAGTTAATATTTATGTTACTTAGTAGATGAATGATTTATTTACACACAAATTTTATACACTATATTTATATAAAATTTCAACTATTAAAAATGAAAAAATTAATTATTGAGATTTTATGTAAATATAATGTGTAAAACTAATGTGTAAATAGATTTCTACTCTACTTAATAAATTAAAATTAGTTTATACCTTAATATTTTTAAAAATCATAATTATCTGTTTATAGATAAAAAAATAAAAAATAAAAATAAAAGGGAAATTTGTGTAGCTCCATCAATTTTATGTCTGGCCTTAACCCCCTCCCTTGTTGACTAGGTCCCTATTTCTACATTTCCACTTTTTATCAATTATATGCATCAGAACATGTTCTCTATTTCAGTTGCCAGTGCTTTCTTCTTCACTGAGATCAAAACTGGAGCCCTTAAGAAATTGCTCTCTGGATTTGTCGAAGAACTGTGGGTCAAATGGGAGCTCCAAGGAATGGTAACACTCAGCCTGCTTCTCCAGTTTGCACTTGTTTGGCTTGGCCATCATCGCAGACACCAAGGCAAATATTCTCATTACGTTGCCATCCTTGTTTGGTCGGCATACTTAGCAGCAGATTGGGTAGCCACTGTTGCCTTAAGCGCCCTCCTCAAGGCCAAAGTAGGGGAGCTACACAGCGAACTGGTTGTGTTTTGGACGCCATTCCTGCTCTTGCACCTCGGCGGCCCACACACCATCAGTGCCTACTCCTTAACAGACAACGAGCTTTGGCCGCGGTACCTTCTCGGCTTCTTTATCCAGGTTGGGGTGGCTATTTATGCCTATGTGAAATTTAGGAGCGACAACAGCGTTCTCACATACATGGCCATCCCAATATTCGTTGCCGGGATCATTAGGTATGGAGAAAGGATTTGCATTCTTAGGGCTGCAAGCCGCAAGCAATTTAGCAATTCTGTTTTCTCATCCACCAGTCGCGACGCAGAAAAACGTCTTGATAATATTTTAACAAATAGTTCAACGAGCAGTCATGTTCCTCAAACGTTGGACGAGTATTTAAGGGAAAAAAATGTTATTGAAGAAGGCAAATCTTTCCATAAAGCTTTTTATCTGTACAAGATGTACGTTCCTCTCTTTTCAGAGCTCAGGCTTAGGATTTACAGAAATTTAAGGGAACACTTCATGCTCTCCCACTCTATACCTGCTGAAGATGCCTTCAAAATTGTACAGATTGAGCTAGGGTTCTTGTATGATATGCGCTACACCAAGAGCACTGTACTGCAATCTAAAAAAGGCAAAATCCTCCAGGGTATCTACTTATTGTCCACTTTTTCAGTACTGATTGCCTACTCTATCACGGTTGGTAATTTTAGTTATCCGGCAGTGGACATTTACATAACTTGCTTCTTGTTGGGTGGAGCAATCTTGGTGGACATTTTTTCTGTTATTTTGCACTTTTTGTCTGATTGGACAATGTTCTATTTATCCATTCCGAGCAACGAAGGGCATAAATTTTTGGGTGGCACAATTGCTACTAGGCTGGTTCATTTTGAGGCCAAGAAGAAGGGAATAGTATCTATGGCACAGCATAGCCTGATAGATTATTGCTTCAAGGTCAATACATCCTGCTGGACTTCAATTTTGAGAGTGCTTGACACCGAAGACCTCTTCGGGAAGTTTTGGTACACTTCTTGGGAAAAGGTGAATCCGAACTTGAAGAACTTCATCCACTTGCATCTTCAAGAGAAGTTCATTCGATATCAAAACATTAAAGACGAGGTGTCGAGAGAGAGAATTGATAAAAATTTTGAGGAATTTGACCATCAGTTGCTCTCAAGCATATTGAAGGAGAGGGGTGATCATGTGCTTCAAGGAAAAGGAGTTGTTTTTATGGATGAGTTCAAATGGAGCATTAATGATGTAGAATTCAGCCACAGCATCCTTCTGTGGCATATTGCAACGTTTGTTCTCTTCTACGACGATAAAAGAAGATATTCTAGCAGTGCGCTAGGTTCATACTGCCAAATTAGCAAGCTGTTGTCAAATTATATGATGTATCTCCTCCTGGTGCGGCCGCTCATGCTTCCTAAAGGGATTGGTCAAGTGAGGATAAGAGATACTGAAGAGGAGGTGATGAGATTCTTTGGCCATGTGAAGTCACTAAATAATAATGATGCTGCCAGTGCTTTGCTTCACATGGAAAACGAATTTCCATTGTCATCAATTCATGGAAAGTCAGTTTTGAGGGATGGTTGTAAGCTGGCGTCTATGTTGAAGGCATTGGGGGAGGAATTGCAATGGGATCTTGAAGACAAATGGGAAATGATTGCAAATGTGTGGATGGAAATGCTGGCATTTGCTGCAAGCAAATGCAGATGGAAACAACATGCAACGCAGCTTAGGCATGGTGGGGAGTTGCTTACCCACGTAGCGCTTCTTATGGCACATCTTGGCCTGACCGAACACATCCGAATTGTGCCACAACAAAGTGCTGAGGAGCAATCTTTGAAGTGGGACTGGGAACAACTTTCTCATATGTCTTATTATCTGGCATAAGATCATCTTTTCAAAGACACAATACCTTACTAAGAGCCCGTTTTAGTTTCTTCATGTTGTTCATTATTAAAGGGTAAAAAACAAGTTGAGTTGTTATAGAATTGTGGTTTGATCATATTATATAAATAGATATAAACTATTTTCAGATAGATCTAAATTTAATAAAATAAGGATGATTTAGTTTTATTTTAAAACTTTCAATTTTAATTTTAAATTCAGAGTTAAATTCATTTGACAAAATTTAAAACATAATTTATTTCAAAAACAAATTTTTTTCTCACACATTTGAATATATTATTGAAGAGATATAAAATTTGATTTTCGAACATTTGAGTAAATCTTTAAAAAATTACACATCTAAACTTTCTTAAAATTTACTTAAGAATAATAATTTTTAAATTTCTCCTCCAATAAATTTTTAAGTTTGCATTAAAAAATTCACTTATAAAACAAGTGCTTTTTAAATTTTATCAAATTCCCTCCTAACACATCCTAATATACATGAAAGATAAAACAAAACTGGAGCGTAGAGAATAACAAATGACTAACGGTTATCCGATTCCCAAAAATGCATAAATTTTTTTTGGTAATGAAAATGTTCTGTTTGTTACTACGTGGGAGGAAATAACAATCTAGTAATTCCATGAACCAAACAGGATCACAAATGTTCCAAGACTCAGATTTCTTTGTGGCTCACAAGGTAGCAAGCATGATGCTCTAATAAAATATAAACGCATTCACGGGTGATAAGACAGCTTGTTAGAGCTTTGGAAGAAAAGATGCGAACCTAAGATATTATTTACACACAGCAACATGCTGAATTTTCTCTGCACATATTCACAAATTCTATATTATGTACTCTTGAAGAAGAGTGAGACTAACTAATAAATCTGGCAGATTTAAATGCTCATTTTCAGGCTGTAACAGTTCACCTCAAGAATCATGAATTCGCACTGAACTTTGAATTTGTTGGATGCATACAGGGCATGTTGCTTTTTCTGTCTCTTTAACTCGTGCGGCACACTGTTCACAGCAAACTAGATGCCCACATGGAGTGAATGCGTATCTTCTTCTTTTCACCCAGCAAATTACACACAGCTCGTAGAGCGGAGCATCATCTGTCACCCCATCATCCTCCTCAGCACCATCTCTTGGTTGCTGCAACTGTCGTCGCCGCCTCCATTCCTTCCATTTGTTCCAGTTCCTGAAGATAATATACAAACTTCACTCAGGTTTGTCTCTTCCATAAGCTAGAGAAATCATGAACTTTAAGTAGCTACGTAGTGAAGGGCGCTGAAGTAACTGAACAAAGGAAATATATTTGACAGCCAATAGGCAAGTGGGAAATATGTCAAGGATTTACCATTGGATGAAAAATTAAATGGCACATCAAATAAAAACTGGAGTACCTCACTGCAGCATAGCCAAGTACACCAATAGACATCAAACCAAGAACAATCCCACTCCACAATCGTATCTTTGTACTGGCTGCAAGATCTAGTACCATCCGATCCTTAGTCTTTTCGGAGCTGCAAAAAAACATATCATAAACCCAGTTATGCTGGTTTAAGTAACACCCAAAAAGTTGAACCAATA